TCTTTTTTGTTTTTGTTTTTATTGTGCTTGCTTTTTGTTGTTCTTTCTTTGTTAACTTAGCTCATCATTTTATTTTTAACTTTTGCTTTTATTATCAATTAATATTATTATTTCATATTTTTTCTTCATTTTTTCCTTCTAATTAACTATTTAATGATATATTTTTTCTTCAATATTTAAAAAGTGGAAATTAAATTGGTGCAATGGGTGCATCAGGCTTAGGTTCTGCTTTAGCAAATTGCATTAATCTCTCAAATTTGACACTTGACCTTAGGTAAAAACAGTTTATTTGTTTTGAATTGTGATATTTTTAATTATAAAAACTAATTAAAAACAATAAACTCTTTTTTGTTTTTGTTTTTATTGTGCTTGCTTTTTTTTGTTCTTTCTTTGTTAATTTAGCTCATCATTTTATTTTTAACTTTTGCTTTTATTATTAATTAATCTTATTATTTCATATTTTTTCTTCATTTTTTCCTTCTAATTAACTATTTATTGATTTATTTTATCTTCAATATTTAAAAAGTGAAAATTAAATTGGTGACGAAGGTGCATCAGGCTTAGGTTATGCTTTAGCAAATTGCATTAATCTCTCAAATTTGAGACTTGATCTTTAGTAAAAACAGTTTATTTGTTTTGGATTGTGATATTTTTAGTTATAAAAATTATTTAAAAATAATAAAGCTCTTTTTTGTTTTTGTTTTTATTGTGATTGCCTTTTTGTTGTTCTTTCTTTGTTAACTTAGCTCATCATTTTATTTTCAACTTTTGCTTTTATTATTAATTAATCTTATTATTTCATATTTTTTCTTCATTTTTTCCTTCTAATTAACTATTTAATGATATATTTTTTCTTCAATATTTAAAAAGTTTCAATTAAATTGGTGCAATGGGTGCATCAGGCTTAGGTTCTGGTTTAGCAAATTGCATTAATCTCTCAAATTTGACACTTTACCTTAGGTAAAAACAGTTTATTTGTTTTGGATTGTGATATTTTTAGTTATAAAAACTAATTAAAAACAATAAAGTTCTTTTTTGTTTTTGTTTTTATTGTGATTGCTTTTTTTTTGTTCTTTCTTTGTTAATTTAGCTCATCATCTTATTTTAAACTTTTGCTTTTATTATTAATTAATCTTATTATTTCATATTTTTTCTTCATTTTTTCCTTCTAATTAACTATTTAATGATATATTTTTTCTTCAATATTTAAAAAGTGGAAATTAAATTGGTGCAATGGGTGCATCAGGCTTAGGTTCTGCTTTAGCAAATTGCATTAATCTCTCAAATTTGACACTTAATCTTGCGTAAAAACAGTTTATTTGTTTGGATTGTGATATTTTTAATTATAAAAAGTAATTAAAAACAATAAAGCTCTTTAAATTTATTTGATAGCTTTTAATAAATTTTTTTTTATTATCTTTTTTATACCACTAACGATATTATATTTATTAATTTAAGAAATATTTTTTAATTTAAAAATTTATTCTATTTTGATATTTATTTAAAATTTAGACAAATTTATTTTAAAATTTTTAGCTTCTTGAATGAATTCAAAGTAATAAGCAAGTATCTTAAATCAAAAAGATTAGTTGTCTTTAAAAGAAATATCTGATGATAAACAAGTGACGAAAAAAGGATGAATAAATATTAAATGTTTGAATAATATTAAATAATATTTTGTAAAAGTTTTTTTTAACCTAAAAAATAAACAAATAGATTTATAGATTTTATTATTGATTTTATATTAAAAAATAACAATCATATTTTTGTAAGTTAAAACAATTATTAGTAAAAAATAAAAAAATTAAAATTACTTAAATAAATTAATTCCTTTAAAGCAATACAATGGTTTCTCCAAAAACGAACAAATAATTTGAAACTTTTAGTGTTTTATTATTTCTTAATAAAATTATATAAATGCTAAGCTTTTATATTTCAGTTATATATTAATCTGAAATATTATCCATCAATAATATTTCTATCCTTTTTTTTATTTATTATGATTAAATAGATACCATGATTTAAATAAAACTCAAGGAGAAATCAAATTTTACTTTTTATTTTAACTTTTGTGGTTATGTTGAAAAAGGGTCATTTTTTTTTTCACTATATTAGCTCTTTCTTTAATCTTAACTTTTACGGTAGCTAGCTAGTCTAAAATTTACCCTACTATGATCATATCCTGAATCAGTAGATAGGTGAAATTATGGAAAGAATGCAAATAATTTCTTTAGTTTTTGATTACTTTCTTTTGCAATTTTCTAGCTAAAGGCTACTAACTATATTTAGGCTATCTTGATTTTATTAATCCTTTAATAATTAAGCTAAACTTACTTAGCTAACTAAATTCTAATTAACCTAATATTTGAAGTTCCCTTATCAGATTTAAAATTAAAAATTTTTTTAATTAAAGAATGTTTCCAGATAAAAAAGGCAAATTTTCTAGAGATTTTTAATACCCTAAATGTGTTTTATGGGCTTTGATTTAACTTTTTGACCCTTATGAAGAGTTTAAATATTAATTAATTAATTAAACTTTATGCAAAATTTATAAAAGATAGTTTAGAATTTTAAAATAAATTTATTATAATAGATGAATAGAGGAATTTAAAAATATTAATTCTTTATGATATAGAAAATAGAAACAATAAATGAAGGATTATTTCAATTAAAAAAAATAAAATAATTAAAACAGAAATAAATACTAATTTTAATTCAATTTTATCAGTATAAAAATTGAAATTATCATATTATTAACTAAAAGAATATAATTTTTCAATTAAAATAATTGGATTAATTTAGTCCTTTTTGATCAATTCATGGTTCTTCTTTATAGCTAACTTTTGCTTTACTCTTTTAATTGTTATTATCAACTTATCTATCTGTTTTGCTTTAATTTTTTTAATCAGTAGCAAAACAATCTTCTTCAAATAGATTTCCATATGCAGCTTTGCCAGGTAAGTTAAGATCAGTTATTTTAACAAAGCTGTTATTCTTTATTTGATATTCTTTTTCTAAATAGTTTTTATTTACTTTTTTAAACTCTTCTCTTAAAGATTTTAAATCAGGATTTCCTTCTTTAAGCTAAGTTTGGAGTTTTGTTATAATTTTTCTAATTCTTAACCACCTTGAGCGTAAATAAGAATATTGAATTTATAACAAATCCCTAACTAACTCGCTCTAGAAAATCATTTTTTCTTCACTAGTTCCTTACAGTACAGGAGAAGCATTACATTCAATAAACCATAAATTCAAATTTTCATCAAACAAGAAATCAAGCCCAAACATCTCAAACACTCTTGGATCCTTCAAGAAAGCGTGTTCGCTCATTTTAACAGCATGAATGAAAGCTTTCTATAATTCAGGACGCAAGTAATCATCAAGCCATCCTCTCTTGACTTTACCCTTTATTTTTAGAATTGAAATTAGAATTTACTTTTAATTGCATATTTACCTTAGAGACTAAAAAGTCTTCGTATCTACTCATATTCCACATTTAAAAGTTACGCATTTCAGCTTCAGTCATACCAGTTATATTCTTGTACTACTCGGCATTTTCAAACAGATCCTTAGCTAAGTTTGTGTTAGCAAAATGGATTGATTTCTATTTAATAATAAAGTTAAATTTAACCTCCAATATTAATTAATTAATTATTTATTTATTTAGCTAATTCAAATTCATTAAAAATCTAAAAAAGAAGCCTGAATTTTCTTTAACAGCAATAAATAAATAAATTTTATTTAATTTCATTAAAACCTCTTTTCTCAAATATATTTTTTGAATATTTTTGAATTATTTATAAGAAGATGTTGTGATGAGTAATTTTAATAATTTAAACATTTTAAATTGAAAGAATAAATTTATTCTTTTTAAGCAATAGGAAATTAATTATTTTGAGTAGTTAAAATTTTAAATAATATGTATTTAAAACAATTATTTAATATTGCTGAGCAATTTTTAAATATTTTTTGATTTCTTTTAAATTATTTTGCAATCACAACTTTATTCTTCTTCGATTTGAAAAACATTACATTTAATTAATCATAATATAAGCTGTTTATTAGCATTTATTTTGAATTTTAAGTATTTTTATTTTATTTAATAAAATTTTTATTTATTTTAAGTTTCATTTTTATTAATTTAAATTTTGCTATTTTGAAAATAGAATTTACTTTTATTTAAATTAAAATAAGTTTTTTGTTTTTTAATGAATTAATTTACTTCTTTAGAGTTTTTATCGTATTTTAGAATAGAAAGTCTTAAAAACCCATCATGATAATAAATAATTAAGGGATCTGTTGATGCGATTAGAAGATAGACTCTAAAATCATACTTTTTTTGAAATAATTTTGAATTTAATTTTTTTTTTCAGCCAATTTTTAAAAATTACTTTATGTCCTTCCAACAAGTGGGGGTTTGCAACATACTTTTAAGCCATTAAATTGTCTTCGATTTGTCCGCATAATTAGCCGTTATAATATTTTCTTCTTAATCTTACTTCATATTCATCATCGACCAATTCCAGTCCATTTGCTCTATGAGAGCCATAGGAGACTTTAGTTATGTATGAAATTCCTTCTTTTTCTTTGAGTTTTTTGTACTCTTTGGAGTTGAAGATTTCAAAAAATTATCTGCACTCAGTTTCATCTTTAATTACAAATTTCAAACTTTTACAAAACCTATCAAGATAAATATTAATTACTATCAAGTCTGTATGAAGCTGGGAAGAACTAATTTTTTTTAAAGCAGTGAGGCTTGTTCTCGAATCTTTTGGCGTAGTTGCTTGTATTGTTTAAAATTATATATAATATTTTTAAAATAAATAATTTATTGTTACTTAACACTTTCAACGTTCAGATCCTTTCTAGTCAATGTGCCATGTCCAGGAATATGGTTATAAATTTATGATACACAATAGAGATTTTTGTTAAATTCATGGTAATAATAGCTCTTAACCTTCTTAGTGAATATCATAGTTGTATTGAATGGTATTAAATACTTCCTCTATATGTTTAACAAATAAAAAATATCATTTTGTATTTGTAAATAAATCAAAATTCGATTAAGATTATTTCTTTATTCTTTAAAATATTTAACTAAATCTATTACTACTAAATTTGCATAAATAACTAATTAAATAGCTAATAAAGTATCTATAATATCTTTTGGTGTAAAAATCAATTTGAAGTAGAAGAAATGCAATTTTAAAATTTAAATGAATGCTTATAAATTTTTACAGAATTAAACTCTTCGTCTGGCATATCTTTGTTAATAAAGTCTGGCATTACATCATACCCATATTGCTTAAATACTTATCTTGCTAAGCCATCATTATTGTAGTCATTGAAAATGTTCATAGCGTTGTGAATATTGTGAGGATAAAGCACATTGTAAGCATCTACGTAATCACAGTAATTAGGATCATTAATCAATCCCATATAAGGTTCATCATATAGAGGATGACCATCTGGCATGTCATTAAAATGAATTTTTCTGTCTAATTGGGGATAATCATATATCATGCGTAATACATTCATTTGCTTGAAAAATGATTAAAACTCATCACTTTTGCTAACAGCAGTTTACTCAAGAGAAAGAGTTTTGTTTTATTTTGCTTTAATTTCCTATTTTGATAACTGCCCAATCTTTTGCAACTCTTAATATATGTCATAAACTACTTTTTATTGATCTTTTCTACCCTCATCTTTGATGGTAGTTATCTCTGATTTAGTATTATTTTTTGTGCTTTTCTATTCAAAAGATCTTTCTCTACTACGAGTTTTAGCAGAATTATCATCGCCGAATTTCTTTGTTTAATAAGAACTCTTTAATATCATAACAATAACTGCTATGATACCTAATATATTTAGTGCTATAATCCACCAAAATATCTTTTTTAGTTTCATGTTCTCCCTTTGTTTCTATCTAAATTTAATAAATAACTCGCTAAATATCTATCAAACTTGATTATTTAACAAAATATTAAAAATTTAATTAAATTTTCAATTTGTTTAATATAATTAACTAATTTAATTATACGCGTTCAACTATAAATGAAATATCTATCTATCTATCTATCTATTTATTTGTTTATTTATTTATCTCAATCGCAATTTCTAATTAAGTATTAAAAATTACAAATTTAAATTTCTTTAAAAACTAAAAACAAAACATTTACAAATTTTAGTAAGTAAATCTATAAATATCTAAACAGAGAATATGCTTAAAGAAGATATTTATGTATTTTCTTTTCATTCTACTTATTAATATTTGATTATTTTTTTTAAATAATCAAATAAATCTTGCTGTTTTACTTTAGCAATTAAGAGTAATTAATTCCTCCTTAGCTAATTTGTATGATAGAAAATAATATTTAATTTGTTTTAAAATTCACACAATATGATTTACATTAAAAAATATGACAAATTAGATAATATAAATTTGAAATTTTAGAGACTATTAGTAATATAGACTTATTATATTTTGAAACAATCCTAATTAAATTTATTATCTTTTATATATCTTGAAATCATATAGCAAAGAAAGTCTATAATTCAAGTATTTTTTAATTTTCAAACGCTTCATTAATTTTTATAAATCTATGAATATTTAAATTTCAACAGTATCTCTCAAAATAACTGGATCGATTTAAAATTATAATATTTGAAAGATCAATCAATTTACACATAAATTATAATTTGTTTACAATAATAATTTAATTATACAATAAAATATACTCCCACCATTTGCATCAATACTAGCTTAAAATCTCATTTCAAGGTTAAGTTTATGTACTGAAAGATCAGCCCATAATCTTTATATTATAGACTTACTAACAGGATATCCCCAAGCTGTTATTTTCTCTGAGGTTAGAGAATGAGAGTAATTTTCAGATTTAAGAGCATATATTTATCATACATACCTTTAACATTTAACATAAGAAGGAGTATCTGAAAATTCAATAGTTTTCTATTTCCATAAAAGAATATATTTTATATTTTTAATTAATTAATTAAACCAAATGAAGTTTTCAAATTTGGAAATATTTTAGCTTTCTCAAAAATAAAAATTACTCATTCTTTTATTAATAATTTTTTATTGTTAGAAGTAAATAAAAAAATTTTTCTTATTTCAACATAAAAATTAGAATCATTTTTTTGAAAATGAAAATGTAGAAAATTATTTTTAATAAAATATACAGTAGCGCTCAAAATAACTGGATGGATTTTAAAATATTATTTTTTATTAAAACAAATTCAGAAATATAAAATTTTATTTTTTCATAAGAAATTTCTCTAATCTAAATTTTATTTTTTTATTATAAAACCCTTTTTATAATTTTATTTTTCTTATTTTTTATTATTATTAAATAAGAAACTAAAATAACATTTCTGATACCTTTAATAAATATTGTAATTTTTATTTAACATTTAATTATATTTAAATAATATTAATTTCTATTATTAATACATCTAATTTATATCTATCATATAAAAACATAACTTTTATGTGATTTAAAAAGATATAATAAGAAATTAATGCATAAAAAAAGTATTATTTGTTTTTGGTGAAAACAAAAACTGATGGTTGAATTTATTTTTAATATAAAAAAAATAATAAATTTTTCAAATATTTTAAGTTAAATTATCTTATTAAA